TCTTCTCCCACCTTGTGTTTAATTCGTTCACACTCCCGTCGTTTCAAGTTTTTCAACTGGTAAAGGCCCCATCTTTCTCTCTCTTTCTCTAAAAAATGTATTTGCTTTCTTGCTTTCTTGCTTTCTATCTGTCTTTCTGTGTATGAATATCTGAATCTTGGTCTTTTTGGTTTTCTGGTTGATGGGTTGTTTTCTTTCTGTTTAAAGATTTGATCTTTGTGGTTAATTGGTAAGCTCTTGTTGCAATAATCGTATGTATGATATGGATTTATATCATGGAGAAACTAGAGAAAAAGAAAAGGGTCTTTCTTGGGTTGCATGGAAAATTCAATTTCAATGCTTTGCTTGCTTTCTTTTTCATGGTTAATGGATTCATATATGTGGAGCCCATAGGTCTGATCTGCTTATTATGATGATGAACTTTTCTTGGATTTGTTAGCCATGCTTATTGCTTATTTTAACGTTGACTGAATGTGTTATGCACTATTTGTATGCTTCCAGAGCGAATTGATGAGAAACCAATTGGGTGTGGGAAAGTCTGTGAAAAAGTCTTGAGGGGATTTGTGATTGTTTCATGGGCAACACATGCCGTGGATCTTTCAGGGGGAAATATTTTCAGGGCTACAACCAGCCCGAAGACCAATCTGCTTCCATTTCCAAGCCCAACACCTCTTCTGACCATTCGACTTCTGACCACTCCCCATCCAGCTTGAACAACGTTCCCCAAGAATTCTCCAAAGGCAGCCCCAAAACCAAAAACAACCATAACAATAGTAATCCACCCATCATTAGTCCCAGGAAAGACAACACCATGAGGAGATGCATTGATAACCAAAGCTATTATGTGTTGGGTCATAAGACTGCCAACATTCGTGATCTTTACACGTTGGGTCATAAGTTAGGACAGGGACAATTTGGGACTACTTATTTATGCACCGAGATTGCTACGGGCAATCAGTATGCGTGCAAGTCTATCTCCAAGAGGAAGTTGATCTCAAAGGAGGATGTGGACGATGTGAGGAGGGAGATTCAGATAATGCACCATTTGGCTGGTCACAAGAATATTGTGACAATCAAGGGTGCCTACGAGGATTCACTGTATGTTCATATTGTGATGGAGCTTTGTGCTGGCGGTGAGTTGTTTGACCGCATCATCCAGAGGGGACATTACAGTGAGAGGAAGGCAGCTGAGTTGACAAGGATTATTGTTGGGGTTGTTGAAGCTTGCCATTCACTTGGTGTCATGCATAGAGATCTAAAGCCCGAGAACTTCTTGTTGGTTAACAAGGACAATGACTTCTCTCTCAAAGCCATTGATTTTGGACTCTCAGTTTTCTTCAAACCAGGTAAACAAGCAAAAATAAATGTGGTTTCCTTTTTGAATTTTTATTTTTGATGATCTGGAGCATAGTAAATAACTAGTGCACTTCAATAGTATAATTTTAATAGTAAAATGGAACATCTTATGTTATGGGATTTGATTTTCTACACTTGTATATAATTTATGGGTTATATCAAGTTCGTGTGCATTTGAGTAGTTAAACATATGTAGTGCGTATATAGTAATAAGTTCTCTTAACTTCTATTCTGAATTTATTGGTACTGTTTCAAGATAATAATTGAAAAGCTGGAATGCAGTGCAGTGTCACTGTTGTGTCTCTTTAACTCTTTCAACTGTCTTTCAGGTCAAGTTTTCACTGATGTGGTTGGAAGTCCATATTATGTTGCTCCAGAGGTACTCCTCAAGCATTATGGACCAGAAGCAGATGTGTGGACTGCAGGCGTTATTCTGTATATTTTGCTAAGTGGTGTGCCGCCATTTTGGGCAGGTAATGGTGGTTTGGTATTTAGTGTGAAACAGAGGTTACTTCATGTTTTCTATTACTGAAAAGTTTTACTTATTTGGTGTACAGAAACTCAGCAGGGGATATTTGATGCGGTCCTGAAGGGATATATTGACTTCGAGTCAGAGCCATGGCCCTTAATATCTGACAGTGCAAAAGACCTAATCCGGAAAATGCTCTGTTCTCGGCCGTCAGATCGCTTGACTGCTCATGAAGTGCTATGTACGTTTAAACCTTATTTTAGTGCAATAATGTGCATGGTTTAATGTGACCAGAATAGGAAGTTTATTTATTGTTGGTTGTTCTCCTTTTCTTTTTGTTGGATGGATCATGTCATTATTGCTACATGCACAATATTTGCTGCTAACGACATTATGCGAAAAATTTGCTGGATAAAACATTCAGGCCCTTTTAAGTTGAACTCAGCGCATTCAATGTCTAAAGAGAATCAGCTATGTTTTCTTGCGAAAAAATTTAGCTAAAAAGGAATAAACTTTAGAAGTCTGCCTAGAATTAACCATTTAAAGTATATGACGTGGGAGATGTCCTTTCTTTTCGACTTACACCTACTGCTTAGCTTTCCTTGTTAGTGTGAGCTTTTTCAAATTTTAAGAAATGAAGATTTAGAAAGACTGTTGAAGTGTTATTCATCATAATTGCCCAGTGTAAATTGCACACTTTTGCTACTCTCAAGCTTTCAAGTGATGTATTTTCGTTTTCAGGTCACCCTTGGATTTGTGAAAATGGGGTTGCTCCTGATAGAGCACTAGATGCAGCTGTACTTTCTCGTCTCAAACAGTTTTCTGCAATGAACAAGTTAAAAAAGATGGCTTTACGGGTAAGTGCATGCAGGAGACTGAAACATAGTATTACGCATTTTGTGTCAGTTTTGGCATTTCTTAGATGCTTTACTCGTGCAGTTTTTGGCTTTGTATTTGGAATGCGCATTTATAGTTCACACATACGGTCCCTAAAATCTCAGGGCCCACTTTATAGTTCATGTTGACTTTTGGGTTGGCATGCCCCTTAACTGGGCTAGATGCTAGAACTTATTCTCAAGATTTCTAATGTATTATCAGGTAATAGCTGAAAGCCTTTCTGAGGAGGAGATTGCTGGGCTCAAAGAGATGTTCAAGGCAATGGATACTGATAATAGTGGTGCAATCACATTTGATGAACTCAAAGCTGGCTTGCGAAGATACGGCTCTACTATGAAGGATACAGAGATACGTGATCTTATGGATGCAGTAAGATGCTTGTTTCCAAATAGATTGTTTTATAGGCTTACAGACATGTCCAATTCTCAATCTTGTTGTTTATATGCCAAATTCATTACCTTTGACTTTGTTTATGTTTCAAAAAGCTAAGCTGTTTTACTTCTTTCCAGGCTGATGTTGACAACAGTGGGACTATTGATTATGGGGAATTCATAGCTGCTACAGTTCATCTTAACAAACTAGAACGTGAAGAACATTTGGTTGCAGCCTTTCGATACTTTGATAAGGATGGAAGTGGTTATATTACAGTTGATGAGCTCCAGCAAGCTTGTGCAGAACATCACATGACTGACGTTCTTCTTGAAGATATTATAAGAGAAGTTGATCAAGATAATGTAAGTCATTAAAATTTCATGAGGAAAGTGCATATTTCTGCTTTATCAAATAGTTGACCAGAGTGTTTGATTTCTATCAGAATATCTCCTATGGAAATAGTTTAATGGAGAATTATGTTTTGTACCATCTATTTTAAGATTTAGGCTTCTTGCTATAAATGTTACTCAAGCTTCAGTTCTCTCGTGCATGCAGGATGGAAGAATCGACTACGGTGAGTTCGTCGCCATGATGCAAAAAGGCAATGTGAAAGGCAATATGCCAATTGGAAGACGGACTATGAGGAACAGTCTAAATTTGAGCATGAGAGATGCACCAGGAGCTCTTTAGCTTCCAACTAAGCACGTCAGCTTTATGTAAAGGTATAATTTTCTGCATTTTTGTTTTCTCATTTATCTGTTCCACTTCTAAGATATCAGAAGAATTTCAAAAGATTCTTCACTTGTTTCCAGATAACATTTGTAAGGAATATTATTAGTCTTTTAGCCTATGTGGGAGACTATTTTAGACTATTTGTAAGTAATCTTACTTGGTTTTGGCAGGTTGTACAGCAAAGTCAGAAGAGGAGATTTGGTGGTAGAAGTTTGAGAAGCAAATTTTAATTCCTCAACTCCAGTAGATTTCAATAGGCCCCAGAAGATTTGAGTTGTGGAGATCCTGTTTTCATTTTTTTTGTAGTGAAGCCTTTATGTTGCTGTATGACCACAGAACATGTTGTAAGCTTTGTTGACTCCAGAGTGGGAAGTGTTACAACTATTCAAAGATGCTAATTTCTTTTTGGGTGTTTTCCTCTAAAAGATGTTTTGTTGGTGTCATGTGATTGTTGTGAAGGCAAATAACTCCAGGCTCCATCCACCACATGATAAAGCGAAACAGAAAGGAAAAAAAGAAATTACAGCCTTTTTTCTTAATCAAAGAAATTACAGCCTTTTAAACACCGAAAAATAATTGTAATCCTTTTACTTTACTAACAATTCATTAACCTTAATTTTATAGTGCCCTCACTGGGCTTTTAAAGAAAATGCCAACACCCAACGAGGTCTAGCTCAATGGAAAAGGGCCTTTACTTGCAGATCAGAGGTCTTAGGTTTGAATCCTCAAGGCATCATAGTTGTGTGTGTGAATTCCTCATCCTTATAGTTTAGACTATCGCTTGTACTAAAAATAAAAAAGCTCAATAAATGATGGTTTTTTCCTAGTTGTGTCATAATGTTGGAACTATGTTGTTACTCCTATCACGTGCATATTTGTCTCATTTGTTGAAGGTGTTCATGTCCATTTAAAGATTTATAATGGCACTGACAAACCGAGATTGGATTCCTTTGGAGCTGTCTGTGGGATTTGTCTGTTCAAACAAACAAATTTGCTGGAATCTAGAGAACAATCCCTGCATTTTGGCAAATGTTCATCCTGTCGGTATTTTTTTTCTTTCAAAAATCATTTTGTCGGTATTTACAAGCATTAACCTCATATTTGATCAAAACCATGTCAAAAAAATGAGGTACAAAATCCACCAGCAGGCTGCTGTTTCAACTTGCAAACTACATTTCAGAGCATGTGGTATTACTATGAGTTTGAACAAAATAGCACAAGTTTTGTACATGACATTATTGGCCACGTGATGTCGATGGCTTATTGTTGTTATCCATTGCCTAAAATAGATTAAAAAGAAAAAGAAAAAAAAATAAGACTCGAAGATACATTTCATATAAAATTCGATATTTGTGTTTGAATTTGCTTGCATTGCGACTGATAGATAGTTCATATTGGAGCTCATCCGAAATTTCTATGTAGCCTTCAAAGCTACAGTTTCATATGATACTGAGATATCCTGCAAAAGAAAATGGAATGATGTCAAAATAAGCACACACTGTTTTGTTAGTGACCATGAGAAACTGAAAGATCTGAATTTCAGCTCCGTTTACGTGACCAGAGCTGGTGGGACCCAGGGCTTGCCCGGGCTGCTTTTCCTGCGCTGGAGGTCCATTTCCTGCTGGGGGGGCCTGTTGCCCTGGCAAAAGGGCATGCGGTGGACTTGCTCTAAAGAAAATGCCAACACCCAACGAGGTCTAGCTCAATGGAAAAGGGATTCCTCATCCTTGTAGTTTAGACTATCGCTTGTACTAAAAATAAAAAAGCCCAATAAATGATGGGTTTTTTTCTAGTTGTGTCATAATGTTGGAACTATGTTGTTACTCCTATCACGTGCATATTTGTCTCATTTGTTGAAGGTGTTCATGTCCATTTAAAGATTTATAATGGCACTGACAAACCGAGATTGGATTCCTTTGGAGCTGTCTGTGGGATTTGTCTGTTCAAACAAACAAATTTGCTGGAATCTAGAGAACAATCCCTGCATTTTGGCAAATGTTCATCCTGTCGGTATTTTTTCTTTCAAAAATCATTTTGTCGGTATTTACAAGCATTAACCTCATATTTGATCAAAACCATGTCAAAAAAATGAGGTACAAAATCCACCAGCAGGCTGCTGTTTCAACTTGCAAACTACATTTCAGAGCATGTGGTATTACTATGAGTTTGAACAAAATAGCACAAGTTTTGTACATGACATTATTGGCCACGTGATGTCGATGGCTTATTGTTGTTATCCATTGCCTAAAATAGATTAAAAAGAAAAAGAAAAAAAAATAAGACTCGAAGATACATTTCATATAAAATTCGATATTTGTGTTTGAATTTGCTTGCATTGCGACTGATAGATAGTTCATATTGGAGCTCATCCGAAATTTCTATGTGGCCTTCAAAGTTACAGTTTCATATGATACTGAGATATCCTGCAAAAGAAAATGGAATGATGTCAAAATAAGCACACACTGTTTTGTTAGTGACCATGAGAAACTGAAAGATCTGAATTTCAGCTCCGTTTACGTGACCAGACTTAAAACCAAAGAGGGACTGAAACTATCCTGTAAAATCTATTAATTGGAGCACAATATAGATTGACACAGATGAATTTCAACATGGAAGCCACAAATACGGCAGCAGTATCCGAAAATGAATAGACGAAACCGGCTATCGGAACCTATTTATTATGATCTAGTCAAATATGTTGGACTGAATCCTTAGCTGGTTTGTTCTCACCATTGGATGCTGAAATTCAAAACAAATAAATATAGATGCAGAAAAAGATGTGGTATATGGATGCAAACTTGCCTTCAGCAATGCTGTGCTTGAGAAGGTGCATTTTGATGTGATTGCACGTCCATGATCTAACAGCCATCCCACCTCGCTGTAAGTATCACCATCTTTACATTCTTTTAGCGAACACCACAACTGCTTGGGAAGCAATATCAGACCACTTTCATCTCTTACGGAGTTCTGCTCACTGTTGTCTAAAAGTTCTTGAAAAAAGTTATGTTTATCCTGTTCACATTATATACTAATTAGACCTTGGAGTTACAAGAAATCCAACAAATCAATGAAAGCCTACCAAATGGATTGATATACAATTACGTTGAGGTAATAGCTTCAGAAGAATTCAACACAAGCATAAGTAGACGTTTCTTCCTATGGATCAAAACATGGATGTGATTCCCATAGTGGCAAAAGCAAAGAATGAAGTGAACCTCCGCAGCAAGAAAAATCACAAACTTTTAACCAAACCAAAGAATTATTTGAACCTCTCAAGCATACTTATTGAGCACAATAGTCTAATTACGGCACACAATTATGTTCAGGGATTTGAGATTAATTTGAGCATATCAGTCAAAATATACAAACCAAACCAACAAGAGAAGGATTTTCATAACTCACATTTTCCAAACCATAACCATCAAAATTGGCAAGAGCTCTTGGGCCCTGCCAAGTCCCAACAACTTCTGAAGCTTTCAATGCAGCCGTAGAAGCAAAGGCAGAATCCCGGATAGCACACCCGCCTAATTGATCCCCATTTCTGAATGGTCCATACCACTGCTCACAAAACACTCTTGTATTCTGCAGCATCATCTTCATATTGTCTATACGGATGACCTGAATTATTCTCACACGAGACTCCTTATCTTGAGGGTTAATCAAGCAATACTCCAACTCCAACAACTTATTACCCTTTTCCTCACCTGGCCAGACGGCCACATAGCATCCGCTAGACTGATATGCAAAGGCAGAAACTTCGTTATTCACACCACCAATGTTCTTCTCAATGACGGTGTATCGTGTAGCAGCATCAGCTTCACATCCAACTGTTGGTAGTAGCTCTATATTCTTGTACACAAGAACGGGCTCTTCCGGGTTAGCAAGAGTGGGGCACTGAGTCTGCCAATCGAAAACCTTAACCTCCCACTCCCTGTAAGCTCCAGGTACAACATTCTCAGGAAGTTCAATTGGGCTCCCTTCCTTTGTGAAGTCTGCTCCATAGCCATCCCATTCACCGGACACATTTCTGGCAAATTCGGACCACGCTTGAACAGATAACAAAGATTGATAAAAGAGAAATTGAATTAAATGCATCTTAAATATATCAACTTTAGATTCTAGATTTCACATATATAACATAAAGAATGGCAATTTAACCATCACCATCTCTTATCCAATCCTTTTTCTCTGCTATATATCAAACCAGGTATATAACAACTGACCATTTTAGGTTGGCCGCATGCAAATTGTTTGGAAATTAACCAGAAATTATACAGCGCAAATCCAAAAAGCTTCATTTGCTCCAAATATTAAGCCAAGATGAAAACTTTTTGTTGCTATAGATACAATCAGATGCTCTTATTTAAACCAAAAAAGCCAAATCCTAAAAGAAATAATCAAAAGCATCACCATAGCTTTTGACTTAGAGAGCTTAGAATAAACTTACCAGTGGCAGAAGTGGAAGTGGGATTGAAGTTGCGGTCCTCCTGAATTTGGAGTTTAACATCAGAAAGGGTGGTGTTGGTGGAGGACGAGGCAGTGCTTTGCACAATTTGAGTGATTTGGCGACGATTGTGAGGCTGTTGAAATTGAAGGCTTGTAGGCTTTTTAGGAGAAGGCAAAGAAGTGCTTAAGCTCAAAGCTGTGGTGTGGGGGATTATGCTGTTCAAAGCCAATGCCATGAGACTTAGATTTTTCAAATATGCTGTGGGTTATGGTGGCCGTTCTCTGCTCTTATCCTCAGCCACAACAATGAAGCTGGGAAAGAAAAGGACACAGTTGTGGCCTTGTTCTTAGTTGCTTGGCTGCACAAACAAGATGATGGAATATTCTTCTGAATCTTTGGCAGTTAGGAAGTCAGTGAAGAATCAATAGCACTTTGCAAACGATGTCGTATCATCTCATGTATTTCTGTCATTTTACATTTTGGGCCTCCACATATTGGGTGGGTTGAGAGGTGAACTCAAGCACAACCCAATATTTTATATATCCCAATAATTATGAGAGGAATACTTTTTTGCTCAATTGTGAATTTAAACGTTGGTTATCGCTTTGCTTGTATGTTTCACAGTCTGACAACGTAAGTATTTGGCCGGTCATAGAACTTATGAAATGCATTGTTTTGCTTAGGAGGTGATGGTATATTTGCCGAATATGAAAAACACTATTAGATTGTGAGTCACATCAAGTACCAAACAAATAGTGAAAATGACATATTGAATCTTAACTAGAAGATGGACCAAACTCTTTGCCAACCGCCGTTCTCTGCTCTTATCCTCAGCCACAACAATGAAGCTGGGAAAGAAAAGGACACAGTTGTGGCCTTGTTCTTAGTTGCTTGGCTGCACAAACAAGATGATGGAATATTCTTCTGAATCTTTGGCAGTTAGGAAGCCAGTGAAGAATCAATAGCAACTTTGCGAACGATGTCGTATCATCTGATGTATTTCTGTCATTTTACATTTTGGGCCTCCACAAATTGGGTGGGTTGAGAGGTGAACTCAAGCACAACCCAATATTTTATATATCCCAATAATTATGAGAGGAAATACTTTTTTGCTCAATTGTGAATTTAGACATTGGTTATCGCTTCGCTTGTATGTGTTACAATCTGACAACATAAGTATTTGGCTGGTCATAGAACTTATGAAATGCATTGTTTTGCTTAGGAGGTGATGGTATATTTGCCGAATATGAAAAATACTATTAGATTGTGAGTCACATCAAGTACCAAACAAATAGTGAAAATGACATATTGAATCTTAACTAGAAAATGGACCAAACTCTTTGCCAACCGTATTTTGGTCTCTACTAATTTAGTAATTTTGTTCTCTCGTCTTTTACTATACTAAAATTACAATTGTGATATATTTTAGTAAATTGTTGAACCACATCTATAAACAACATTAGAATCACATATTCGCCATCTACAACTTTGGTTCAAAATAGTGGCGGAGCTAGTAGCTTGTCTTTGAGGGGCTAGTATTGTTGTTTCAAGGTTTTATAGCCTTATATATTTCAATTGATATAGCAGCAGGTGTTTAAGAGTTATTGACTTTTTCATGAAGCTTGGGGGGCCACGACCACTGCAAGCCTGTATGTGGCTCCGTTCCTGATTGAAAATATAGATTAAGGTTTCTCCAATGCACTAGAAACCCAAAACCCCAAATTGATTTTTATCCCAAACTCAAACCCATATTTAGGTTTCAATATAACTTTTTACTCACATGCATTAGAGCAAAAAAAGAGATGACCTTTATTATATTAGGTTGACATCTCACTTGGGTTAAAAATGTTGTTCACAATGTAGTGCACACATAGTTTATCTTTAGCATTATTCTGACAAGTTTGGATTAAAATTTAACAAAGTTTGGTTTAGTGCTTATTAGTTAGCATGTCTTAAAATATTAGTCCGTCCTAGTTTAGTGCTTATTGATGATTGGCATTTGGCAGCTCACCCATTACCAATTTGACTCTCCAGTAAGTGTCAACTATTTTGTCGGTGCAATCATGGGATCCATGTGGTGTCATGGTTTGGTCAAAACTCAAAAACTAAAACAAATTATTTATTAATTTATTTCTTCCCTTTTTTCTATTATTGGTTTATGTTTGGAAAAAGAATGAGCATCCAAATTTATACACCGACACATTCTACTTGGTTCAGGTGGAAAGCCAAATCTGGTCCTATAATTTTAAGACCCCAAAGTCCTTCAATCATTTTTATTTTTATTTTTATTTCAGAAATTCTGACATGACATGAAAACCCCACCATGCAAAATTAGATACGAGTTCTTGGAGACTAGAACAGAGATGAGGCTTCATGGGGTAATCCTTGTCTGTAAGTGTTTGTTCATATCATGTTTGCTGGCTGGCAATGACATTGGAATTTGGCAATTTGGCAATTTGGCATGCATCACCGACAGTCAAAATTTGTGTTATTGGAATTGAAAAAATAGACTCCATATTTGGCCTTATTGCCTTTTCTTTTAGATACCTTTTTTCTGACCACTTACCCAGAAAACAAAAATAAGTACCTAAAAATTGTGGTCTAGAAATAAAAAGGTCATGGGAACGAGAGGTAAACTCAGACGTTCTAAAATTAAGTCTTTATAATATAAAAAACGTGTGAGATATGTGTGTTTACGCGTTTATATTCTGTAAATTGTCTTTATTATTAAAAAGAAATAACATTTATAAAATAATAATAATAATAATAAAAAAGCAGACTTCACTCTAAAGGCATAGATGGATGATGGATCCCATTGTCATAGATCTACCAATATTGAAATTGACTTTGTATCACAAAAATCCCAAGTATCTTGAATCTTAATGCATAAGATTGAGAGCTGAGCTGGTTCTTCTCATATACATTGTAATAGTCATTGAGGGATTGAATTAAGGAAGACATCAAGGAAGAAGAAAGAGGAGCTAATTATAAATATTTCATTACTAGCAATTAGCTAACACATAAAGAGCCACTTATACAAATAATGGAACCTGCAAAAAAAAATTGCTTTCAATTAAAAAAATAAAATAATAACAACCATATTGGAGTATTTACTAATCAATAAATTGCTCTCTCTCTCTCTCTCTCTCTCTCTTTCTCTAACCATCCCATGAACCCCTGGTAAATGATGAGCAGCAAGCAAACCCTGCAATTCCCATTGTTGATTGTTGGAATATTAGTGCCCCAATCACCTCAATTTGCCACAAATTGCAGAGAAATCTGACCACCATTAATGAACCACCTTCTTCCACAGCAAGCCCACATGACAGATAATAGAACAACAACAACAGCAACAACAACATGAACCTATCTAATTACAATGGTATAATGATCTTCATGCAGGAACATGAACAAGAACATTAACAAGTACACTTCTGATCCATAAAGGCCCCACCTTTGTTGATTAATTTCACAAACCAACACTTACCCATAAATCTCAGCCAAGCATTTTCTTGGTTTTGGTTCTCCCGTCATCAAAATTGTACCTATAAGTTTGAGGAAGGCTGCCCACATCAGAACCCACGAGCCTCTTGAGCTCTGACCTGACCTTGTAGAACACATGCCTCCAGCTTCCTCTGTTGTCAGAGCCAAGAACTTTAGTCTCCTCCTCGTTCATCTCCAGATCTTGAGCAAAGATGGGTTTTCTGGAGAGGATCCAAGTCCAGCCCCAGAGCCACCATTTTCTTATGGACCCTCCTGCATACTCTCCCATGGCGGAAACCGATTTGGATCTGCTCAAGGCCCATGATGTTGCAGGGGTTGAGATGGGCTGGAGCTTGAGGGAGAGAGAAGAGAGCCTCCTGCGCAGGCCTGGCTGCTCTGTTAATGGATCTTGAAGGCCTTGTGAGACTGGGAGTGATTGGCTTGCGGGCATGGTTGCAAAATCTGAAGCAAGATGCTGTTGCTGTTGGCTCTGTTTTGAAAGCTCTGCAAAATTTGAGCTGAAAAAGAAAACAGAGGAAAACACAGAGAAGAGAATGATGAAATGTGTGTTTTGGGTTTTGCAGTTGTGTTTTTGTTTTGTTTTTAGAAGGAGGTGGTGAGGTGAAATGTAGCGTTCACAGCTTCATCACAGGCTGTTCTTATTCGTGTTGTGGGGGGCCCTGTGAGGTGGTGGGGTCCATGGAGTTCTAATTCTCTGCATTTACAGCATTTTCTCCTCTATGATGGGTGACAGGGTGTGGAGTTTCTCATCATCTTTTAGAATTTATTATACTTTTCGCGATAATTTGAGGTCTTAATTTGGTTTTGAGTCCAAAAAAGTAAACAAGAAGTTCTTAATTTGGGTGATGATTAGGATATTTTTTTCAATTTAGCTGGAGGCAATCACGTCTACTTCTTCAAATTAGGCTTGTTTCTGGGTCCATGTAAATTCATTCATTTACCATAAAAAAGGGTTTTGCAAATATAGTGAGTATTTATTTACAGCTGGTCAAGAATAAGTGTCAACTAACTCCTTTAATTAGATGCGAAGGGATAAAACTATTTGTATTATATTTAATAATACGTGTTCTAATATCGTATTTTATAAAAGGGAGAATTCATCTATTTAACTCATCACAAATATATATTGTCTTTGTGTTCTCGCAGTCTTGTGAGCAGAAACTTGAGACCTACTCTTACTGAGCGAAGATAACTGCTACTAAATCGAAGACTAGCTAATAATAGTTTACTATAATTTGAATGAATTCACAACATTACATTTACATGGCACATTGTGTTATGGTTCAACAATATATTGATGGGTTGTGGCATACCAATCATTGTGATGATGCAGTCATCATTGTTAAATCTTAATATACATCGACATCTTAGGTTACTACAAAAGATATGAGCCAATTTTTGGCCTGTGATGGTAGGTTGATATTAAAAAATTGAAAGGAAGAGAATCACGATAACTTGGGATTGTGAGAGTAGGGAAGGAGGCAGAAAGAGCGATTTCTCACTTTGGCCCAGAAAACGTGGGGAGAAGGTATCCAAGTGCGTAGTATAGGGAGGAGCCAGAGTGTGAATGCAGGGACCACCCTTGAGTTGTCGGTTGTAAAGTCTAGATCTGCTGCTCATAAAAAGGTTAATTGTTCTATTAGTCCTTGAATTTAGATCCGATTTGTATTTGAGTTCCTCAATTTCCAAAATCGTTTCCGTGATCCTTTAACTTCACTTTCGTTAGGACAAATGGTCCTGCTGTCAATTTTGTTAACTTTTTCTGTTAAATACAGGGGCAAAATGGTATTTTTATATTAAAACAAAAAACAAAAAATAAAAAATCATATTTTTAAAATAACAATAAAAGAAAATCAAATAAAAAACCAACAAAAGAAAAAATTCAAGTTTTGGGGGAGTAGAAAT